GGGGGGGGGGGGGGGGGAGGGGCATAAGGAACATGTTTTTAAATGAATATTTTCCCTTCCACCCTACACTAACCCCGTATCTTTACTTAACATTAATAGCAATGCTCGACGGCACAAGATCGGGTTGTACCTTGTATATATTTCTTCTTCCATCCTTCTCCTCTCTATCTCCTCCCGTCTGCGTCTGTTTTCCTTCTCTCCCTTTTTCTAACGATATCCGTGCGCGGAAGGGACAGACGAAAATGGCAGCCGGGGTAAACTAGCCGTGAAAACGTCGTCGCGTTAATGGCAATACACCGTGCTGTGCTTTGGGGGTGAAGAGGGGTGAGAGCGAGCGAGGAGGGGAAAGAGGAGAATTTTGTTACGCGTTCGCACATCGAGCCCGGCCGAGTCGAGCGAAGTAAATCGAATAACGTCGTTAAGTGCCGGCACGATTCCGCTCGTCATCCCTCGAAGAAATTTATATCGCTTCGGGGAAAAGAAGACGAAAAGGAGGGTAACGACAACTTTGTGGCAACGTTGTGCTTGAAAATCCTCCTGGATCCCTTGAATCTCACCGTGGGCGAGCGAAGTAGCAGTCGAGATTGAAAATAACTTTTGGGAAGTACAGGATCGCTGACACAACTGTAGAAACGCGCGATCTTCGAGCACACTCGCGAAAATACAGGATGTCATAACGAAAGGAAGAAAATCACTTTGGGAAATGTGGGATCGCCGACGCAACTGTGGAAACACGCGATTCTCGAGTACACCCTTGAAAATATAGGCTATCGTAGCGAAGGAAAGGATATTACGAGGGATTGCGATATTGTTTTAACGTGAAACAAAAAAGGGAAAAGAAATTCTTCCTTACCTAAAGAATATCGCCGCTACTGGCGGCTCTCGTAGTCTTCGTAGCTGGTCCCAGCCGGTTGTTCGGCTCCGGTCGCGGCCTACAATAGATGATTTTCCGGAAGGCTTTACGAAAATTGTCGCTCAGGAAGGCGTAGAGGAAGGGGTTGACACAGCTGTTGGTGTAGGCGAGGATGTGACTAGCTATTTGCAGCATTATCGTCGCCGTCGTGAGCGGGAACATATCGACAGATTTGGTCACCAGTATCACCTGTAACGTGACGTTGCGAGGGATATCGCGACGAAATGCCAATGAGAAGTCCCCCTCTCGGGACGGACAGTGGCCTTTACCTGTATAGGACACCAACAAACGGCAAAGACACCGACGACGACGAGGACGAGCCTGGTGACTCGCCTCCTTCCGCGTCGGCTTTCGGCGCTAATGCGCGCGCCACGCCACAATTTGATCAGCATGCACACGTAAAAAATACATATCAGCTTCAGCGGCAGCACGTAGCTCGTCAGGAAGAAGGACACCTGGAAGAAGGACCAGTCGTACTGCTCTAGGATCCGACAAGCCGTCAGATTTTCCGACGACGGGCCGCCCATCTCCTGGAACACGTAGCGAATCTACGTACACGGGGTACATAAGGGAGTGAAGGCTGGATCAGAGGGATGTGGAGAATCGTTCGCGACGTACTTACCTCGCCGTGTATCACCAGCGCCGGAGTGGATATCGCTAGGATCACCGCCCAGGTGACGCAGATCGCGAGGATCGCGTGGTTCTCCGTTCTCCAGGACATCGAGGCGATCGGATGGACCACCGCCAAGTACCTGCGGACAGAGATTTTATTTTCACCGGGGATTAACCGCCCTCATGCCGCGCGAACTTTATCATTAACATAGCTTGAATCGCTAATGAGAGAGCGCGGAGTGAAATCCCTGTTAGCGAAGTTTTATATTAGAATATTGCAACTCCTTCCCCATGTCGGGAACGTCTCTTACTTTCTTCTTCTTTCGCACTGGCGCGAAGTTCCGACCGAGTTTGTAAATTGTCCGAAAATGTACGAGCCCTCATAATCCGAGAATCAATTTTGTCTAACGATAATCCCCGTCTTGAACACGACGGTTGCTTTAAGAGGGAAGGTCAGAGAGGACGGGCTACTTCCTAAGCCCTTTCAAGATAGCTCGCTCCTCAGCCACTTAAGTGATTAAAAGCAAGATATATGAGATTCATTAAGTTACTTTGCATATGAATGTTCAGTCTTTTGCATCTTTTTCATCTTTTATTCCGATCGGTAAACATTTCCCTCGGTTGGATCACGTAACAGCCCGATAAGAACGTCCACGTAAGGAAGTCGATTCCACGTCAATTTCACGTCGATTCTGTGCCGGTTCCATTGATTTTCTCATCGAGAGGACGTTTCAAAGGAAGGACGTTCAGTAACGCATACGCACGCTGAGGAATTTCCACTTATCTTTTAAGGACACGAATGTGACGGTGGATGGCAATGATTATTCCCGAGTCGGAATTTTAAATTCCACATTGAGTTCTCAAGTGGAGAAACGAAAATAAGTTCCCACTTGTAGCGTCAAAAGAGCACAATAAGTGGTCCTTTAACGCTGCAAAGGGAATTTAATTATTCCTCCGGAGTTTAAATTTTCGTTCTACATTAAGTCTTCTAGTGGAGAAAGCGACAATAACTTCCCCATTTGTAGCGCCAAACGGGTACGATAAAAAACTTTTCAGCACCTAACGAAGAACTGAATTAGACTTAAAGTAGAACTAAAATGTCGACTTGGGAACGCTTGACGACGAATGACTGCAATTGCCTTTTACACTAAAAGAGTGAACTTGTTATCGATGGATAAGACGATGCGAAGAATATGACAACCTTCGACGGGAAGAAAGATAAGGAGTTATATATTGGAAAGAATACGTCAATGCCTTTCACATTATTTCGCAGAAAACATCGTCTAAACGGTGCACAATCGACGTGCCGAGTCGATCGTGAAGTGCGTTAAAAAATAACATTATTCACCGTGCTGCGTAGTCGTTCACTTTTCGTAATACAAAGGGGGATCACGATATCGCCGGTAATTGATATAATGGAGTGCATTCCTGCAACCGGAGATTGAATAATCAAAATTCAACTGACTGATTTAATCGAGCTCGTATAACGTATGCTACAAGAGATATCGCCGTTAGGTATTGAAGTCAGGCGACCATCTACAATGGCCTACGTCGTTGGGACAGATACGTTTGAATTGGTTGAAACGAATATTCCAAACGAGAATATATGCGCTCGGTGCGCTCCGCAAACTGCCTCATGCGTCACCATTCCACCAGGTGTCATCGAATCAAACGTCGAAGCTACGGGAGTGCAAGAGAAATACCCTCAGTGACGAATATTCGAATACAATTTAGACGGTTAATCCTACACGATGTATCTCTTCTCGGGCGATCGCCGCAACTGGGAAATATACATCACGCACTACATAATTGTCGTTGTGGAAAGTTGCACTTTGCGCATATCCCCTGTGCTACGAGCCCTCTCAGCAATTATAAGAGGATTTAGTTACAACTCCAGCAAAATTTTCACGTGAAAGTTATAATTGTAAACATATTTGATATATTAAATATGATAAAGTTGTGAGAACAGAAGGCCCGATCGGGTTATCTGTTAACAGCTAAGAGGAAAATCCCATGGGAATGAATCTAACTCCGTAATGAATCTAAACTCCGCAAATTTGGAATCGAAACTTTTAAATTGATTTATTATTATGTGCGTTATTATCCCGTCAAATCCGGACGAGGGCAGACTTGCGACGCAGATCCTGCGAGGGAAAGTTCGGTAAATGAGCGTCGCCCGGATGAAAACGGAAGTTTTCGGCGAGAGTTCGACAAGCATACGTTCAAAACGGTCCGGTACATGAGACCATATGAAGAAGTAAATTAATGTCTGTGAAAAGATAGGTTTGTCTTTTTTTACATACTTCCGTCCAAAAGTCTGAAGTCTTAAGAATACACTCGTGAGACTTTCAATGTTATTTCGGATATTTATCAGTCGGGCAATTATAAGTCGTAAATTGAAGCGGCGCGTAAGTAGGAAACGGAGCGCGTGCTGCTCCAGCATTTTCAATCTCGGCTTAAAACGAATAGCCGTCTCTTCTTCCGAGTATCTATATATACATGAATATCGTGTCGTATTATATTCCTTTTATACGACGATGAGAGCATCAACGGCATGATAATTCGCTGCGAAGGATACCTTTTCTGCATCGGAAGTGATAATTATAGAAAAATTATCGAAATTGCTGCTTTCTTAGCAGCCTGCATTCCGAACGAAAGATATTCAACTTTTTGGAAAAATGGAAGTGTTGGAGATTAATTAGTCCTCAAGCCGAAGTTCCCGTTGATCGACGCAGAATGATTGAGAGCTGTCGAGCGTCGAAGCTTACACAAATCACGGGAGTATTGTAATGGCTCGTAAGTACTGAAAAATTACTAAGCAAGACTTATTCGAAGAGAGAGAAAGTATACTCTGGTCCCTAAATAGCTGATTAGTTATAAATAATGAAAACCTATAGTTAAATAGAAAATACTATAATGTAACATTTTAAACTCATTTTTCTCGAAACTACATTTTTCAAGTGTGCGGAATTAATTACTAAGAAACTATTGAAGACATCGCTTTGAAATTTAGTACGCTTATAAAAAACACAACCTATCCACTACGATAAAGGCGGTATTTGCGATAATTTGGTTTTAATGCCACAAAGAAGCTGGAATTTTAGCCGGATATCGCATTGCATAACTTTTGAGAGGCCATTTTTCCGTTTTTAACACTGTTTGTAGTTCAACCGCTGCATGAACTCACAAATTAAAAAGCCTTTCGTTTTTACGTTTTCGATCAATCAATATCTCTCGATCACTTCCGCCAAGTGCAGGTGTACTCTCTGGTGTAATTTCCACTTTAACCGTCATCCGTCATATATACGATCTACTGAATAATCTACAGATCCATAGATTGTTACCTATAAATAACAATGAACGAAAAAATATCATCATAATCTACAAAAATCAATGAATATTTTGTAGAAAAAGCTGCATCTTAATCGCTTCAGAACTTCCTTCTACAAAATTCTGGACGAAGCCATGCATTCTGTCGATCGAACAACACAGAACACTGCGTAAACGAGCGACGAGGGAACGACATGTGAACTTTCATTTCGACCACGAACATTTCTTGAGCGCTTCGCTGGAAACTTCCCTGACCGCTTTCTGTTCGACTGGTTGGGCACAGTCGGACAAAACTCGATCGTTTCATTGCGGGACCTGAGGGATTCTGTCCCGTGCAGCGAGATCGACGCGTCTTCGAATGAAATTGAGAGCGTCTTTCGTGACATCGCTTCCGGCGTGATGTACATTCGCCCCACCTGGATCTCACCTGGCCGTACCTCGTTGCGTAACGTTTGTCATTTAACTAACATGATGTTATCTTCGAGCACACGCTCCTTGGCAACACTAGTGGTCTGGGGTTTGTTGTTTACGGCCACACTTCCGGGTAATTCCCCTTTCTCCCTCTCTGTCAGCGATTGTCAAATGGTACACCTGTTCCGTTTGACAAACACTAAAATGTGCGACACGGTGCATCAGCAAAGAGACAAACTGTGCTTCGGCTGTGCCGAAGTATTTTCGTAACGTTTATCCTGACGCTCTGGAGAAACGCTACGGTCCCACATCCTCGCAATATTTGCGCAATACTGCAATGCTATCGGCGGAATACGCGACTGAAAGGTTTCGCACGAACGTAGGCATTAACTCCGCGCTCCATTCCGCGCGATCAGTTGTATAAGAGGAAGAGAATCTCAGCGCCCTCACGACGCCTCATAAAGTTGCAGCAACACGCAGCACTGAATGGCGTCGCATAATGCTCCGAAACTTTCTGGACGCACCAGTCACGGTGCGGTAAAATCGATCACAACCGATGGCAAAATGTAGTTTTACCGTCTCGACGGTGCTTTTAGAGCCTCGGAGTAAAATGCGGCTCTCTGAAAGGGGCGAGCTTACCCCGCGAGCTCCGCCGGAGCGCGAAGCAATCGTTGACAGTGAGGAGAGGAAAAAGACGACCGTTAAGATTTTTATTGAACGAGGATCGGGAAAGATTACTGACGGAGAGAAGCTGCGGAGCCCATTATCGCTGAGTGATATCGCCGGACATTATCTGCTCCAGTTGCTGACGCAGGCTGAAGGAACTGAAACCCAATTCTCGTCTGAACCAACACGCGGCAGCCGTGGCGCGATAACGCACCGGCCTATTTTGCTCGTCCAGGTCTACATGCGTGATATTGGTCATCAAGCAACCTCTCCATAGTCTCGACTCGCCCCCTGTGATTTCTCACTCCTTCTCGCACTCTTCCCTCGCCTAAAGGGCATAAGCCCGAGGGACACGAGTTTGCCAGCGAGCTTCACCCGCCGCCTGAGAAGAAGCATGTGTTTGAGCCGAAAAGATGGTGCGTGGGGATTTTTGATTAATGATCCTCGGTGAGGATGGAAGAGCGTACTGAAAAGGACGGATCGATATCTGAATAGATACCGTAAACAGCCGTGATGAAGCCGAAGTTTGCTATTTTCGGCTTTCGCATGTGCGAAGAAGCAGCGAGACATTTTCACTTAACGAGGCGAGCACGAGTCGAAGGAAAACAGGGGCGCAAATTTCGGATCATTTATGTCGGATTTCCTATTTACCGTACTGCGTATCCAGAGCGTATCTCGCTTGTAAAACGAGAGGTTGTAACAAACGTTATGGAAATGTATGAATAAATAAGTCACTCTCTGGCCGTGCTGTAAAAAGAACATTTCCTATCTCTGTGAAAACAGATGCTTCTGCGGGGGTATACACGACCGTCGGTAACTTTTGCTTCGCGCGTTTCACATACGCTGGCATTCATTTTTACGCATTTCATGTGTGTGCGTCACGAATTTATAGATATGTATTACGAATTTCGCGTTACAACTCTACGCGCACGCTCGTGTGTAACTGTACGTTTAATCCTACAACACAGCGGCAAGCTAATAAATGACCGTCACAGGTAAATTTCTTTTTTTTTTATAAAAAAAATAGAACGTATTTTGTGGAACATATCAAATCCTTTTATTTGGAGCTTTGATTTTAAAACAATTACTTTTGTTCCCGCGTTCAAAAGTTTTTCGTTTTTATTCGTACGTACTACGCGTCGTGTATTTCGCACTTGTTGATTTATATGTTTAGTTGCTATTTCTCTATGTGCGAATATAGATATCCCTTTGGCGAAATTTCGTGCACAAACATCTTCCATAATATTGATTTTTTTTCGAATAAAGAAAAATCTGAATATCAATTAAAAAAAGAAAACTACTCATTCATTTTTATTTTAGTTATTAATCTAAATCACAGGTATTATTGATTTAGTTGTTAGATATCATCGATAGTATTACCATCTGATCTAATCTAATTTACACTGAGAGAAAAGCGGTCGGATCGCGGCAAAATTGGCGATTACTCTCATTTAAACAAATATTGTGCCCGCTGAACTAATTACGCGTTCGCGCAACCATACGTTGCGTTCATGTAGTCACTGATCAAATCGCAATCGTTGAATCAACTGATAACCCGAAATTTTTAGTTTTACATTAAGCCTTCAAGTGGAGAAAAAGGGGGAAATAAGTTGGAACATTAAAGGAATGCAATAAGTGCTCCTTTAATGCTTACAAAAGGGATTTAATCCTCCGGAGTCTAAATTTTAGTTTTATGTTAAAGCTTCAATATGGAGAAAATGGCAATAACTTCCCCACGTGTAGCCCCAAAGGAACACAATAAAACCTTTGAACATTTAGGCCCGATTTTTCATTTTCTGGTTAACTCGTGGTTTAAACTCACACCGATGATATTGCAAAAATTGCGTTTCCCTGTTTATAATTAATCATTAAACTGGTGGTTTTGTAGTAGTCACTTTTGAGGTTTAATGATTAACCAAGGATTGGAAAATATCATTTTTACGTTATTATTAGATCAAGCCTAAACCACGAATTAACCAGAAAATGAAAGACCGGGCGTTAATGTAAGACTAAATTAGGCTCAAAGTAATATTAAAATTTCGACTCGGGAACTCATTGAAGCAACTGTATAATTTTACTCCAGTGGGACTAAAATTCGCGGCTTGAAAATATTTTGCTCGTTTGACCGAAATCTCGTTGATTCTACGATTATTCTTTTCCCTTTTCTCAATGTAAAGTACAATTATTCAACATACTAACCTGTCGAGGCTCATGAGGACCAGGGTGTAAACGCTCGCGTAGGCAGTGACGATGATCAGATACTGAACGATCTTGCACCAGACGTTGCCGAACGGCCAATACGGCAGCACGAAGTCGGTGGCCGTGAAGGGGATACAAAATATGACGAAAAGCAGATCCGCCATAGCGAGATTGATGATGAGGATGTTCGTGGTCGACCTCATTCCGGGATTCGCCGCTACGACGACGACGACCAGGGAATTCCCGACCAGGCCGAGGATGCCGATCATGCCGAAGAACAATGGCACCACCACCACCACGATACTTTCTACCAGCTCGCGGTCGAAGCCGAATTCAATTCTCTCGCAGGTGCCGTTCACGGGAGAACCGAATTGCGAGCTGCAGTTGACGAGGTCGTCGCTCGCATTCGCGAGGCTCACGAATGGAGACTCCATCTTCGCCGGGGATCGATCGGCTTCGCTTTGCGGATCGACGTGCGAATCCCCCGGGTCGCGTCGCCGCGAATTTATTGGACCGGGAAGTCTGATCGGGAAGGATAGGAACTGTGCGTAACAATACGTTACAATAACGGTGAAATTGACGCGAACTGCCTCAACGGGATACCCTCGTGAAGGTCCTCCGGTTCCTTCCTGCGTCGAGAGAAAGCCCCAGACGTCGTTCCCTCCTTATAACGTGCATCCCCGCCACCGTACGGCGTCGTACATCCGCGATCGACGTTCCTCCGACGCATCTTCTTTCACGCTGCCATCTCCCACGGGATCTTTTCCCGCTGGAAGTCCGAGAAACTTCAGGAATCTAAAGTTCCGTTATAACGTGGAAATCGCCACACACTCTCTCTCTCTCTCTCTCTCTCTCTTTACACGGAGGGACGTTAATGTAATATACTTTTTACTTTCAGTTAAGTTTCCAGAGTTCAGTTTTTCAAATCGCTACACGAAACTGATATCTCGTTACATTCGTTCTATCATCCCGCTCTCGTAAAAGCGTGAACTTGGAGAGGCTGCTTCATCGGTTTCCAACGGTTTCTAAATTACACTGAGGAACATCTCGTATGCTAAGAGCGGCTGATCGCAAATACAACAATTGACTTTTAAACGTTACAACCTTGGCTGCGGGACTCTCGTCTCATCACCGTCGAACTGTGTTTGCCGCCGAACACTTCAACCCGGCGAACTGCAGTTCGTGCTGCTCACCGCCGTAATCGTCCCTTCTGCCTTCGACGCGGCGGTAACTTGCTCGTTAGAACAATCACAGTAAGCCGAACGATGACATTTCTTGCGAGTCCAATTTCTCCGCGGTGTTCGAATTCGGGGCGTTGTAAATTTTATTCAAACGTCGCGCTATTGCGGATTGATTTACAGCCGCGCGTTATCATCAGTCATCCCTTATCGTCGATCTGCGTTTTTCCGCTTTCATGTGACACGTCTGTGTATGTCTGTGTGTATGTGTGTGTGTGTGTGTGTGGGCGCGGAATGTTCGAATACTCCGTGATATCACACCGAACTCCAAGGAACTCCGCAATTGGGGAAAATTGGGGAACACCGCACCGCTCCGGTCGGGCGTGAAATTACCGTGAAATTGCAATTATCGCGCTAGCAACGAGTAACTCGGAGTTTCGCATTCCGCGCGCGTTCGAACGCGCTTACCGCCAAACGCTCGAACTCGGCGAACTGAAGTTCGCCGTCGATCACTCGACCGGCTCCTTCATCGATACGACGATCCGTTTCCCCGGACGGGTCTGCGGCGCGCACAGTTCCCGAGAAGACGATCCTTCGTTCTGCGTCGCCGGCTGCCGGAACGTTGCTTTATCATCGCGCACATAGCGCGCGCGACGCGCTAAAGTGCGATCGCGGCGAGGGAAAAGTGGAAAAAAGCCTTCCCTCCCCGTCGTATCACGTCGAGAGGCTCGCCGTGCGATCTTCGCGAGGATCCGTGGAAGTCGCCGCTGAAAATCCCACTTCCGAGCGAGTCCACCGCGGGATGTTCAACGACGGATCAACCGAGTCGGGTCCGCGAAGTTCTCGCGTGTCATCGTACGCCTTGATAACACCAGCTCCGGGGGTGGTTTTGCACTGAGAAACCCCGATGGTCGACGGCGGCGCGCGGCCAGAAGTGGATGGGGCTGAAGCGTATGCCGCGCGAACGACGGGGGACACCAGCGACGCCATCTACCGCGCGTGCCAATGCCGAGGTAAGGACGCTCGCACGAGGGAGACTTGCTTTTTCTATCTTCTCATCTTTATCGTCATCTTCGGTATTTTTTCGCACCACCCGGCGCGAAGCTCGACACCCGTAAGACCGGGAAATCCATTCCCCGCTGAATCCCCCGGCCGGGTCGTCAACCAACTTTCGGTAATCGTTGCTAACTCGGCAGCGATCGCTTCATACATAAATCATCAAGGTGACCGTCTGTCTCCTCTTCCTTCTCTCTCTTTATCTCTCCTTCCAAACTTACTTCTTTCGCAAAATACCACATTACCGTGTTTCGCCAGTTAGCGTTTGCTGTGTGTTTCGTAGTTACACTCTTGCTGATGGAAGATGTCTAAATAGAAAAAAAGATAGTCTTAAATCAATGACAGATATATATTATCATATATGTACCAGAATATATTATAGTATTCTTAGAAGATTTTTAGTCTCGAAGTCTTGAGTGCAAGTAATACTTGCATCGATTATAAATTCAATCGAACCAAGGCTAAACATTTTCTAAGAAGAATATGATATTCTTGTTTATACGGGAGTACGTCATTGATTTTTTTTTTTCCGTGTACCATAAGGCGTGCTCAGGAAATAACGCGTTTGTTTGTAACATCATTGTCGTTACAAGGTCGCTGAAAAGACGTGCAACTTGAAGATCCGCTCGAGAATGATGGCCATTAACGTATCTGTCACATATTTATTTTTGAACATTCGTTCTTAAAGCTATCGCTAGTCTAAGATACCCGCATCGGTCGGTGCGTTTCTTCACGGATAAATGAATTTACACATATGTATTCTCTCGCGTTATCAGTTTATAAAATTTTACGTCACTTCGCAAATAATTACGAAAATGTAATAACAATACTTTGTGCGTGTGTTCGCAAGGTATCAAAGTGGTCGGATCGGTTCCTGTCAGTAAAGCGTAGCCGTCTGGCGCTACATCGCTCCCCTCCCCCTCCGTAATATAAACAAACGTTCATTTCGATTTCCTATAAATCCCCGATACAAACGCCGCATACAAGTTACTCAATCCATATTAAACTAGTCTCTGCATCGCAAGTAGTACAAACGCGCGCGCACAAGTTCGATCGCAACGTGGCGCAAAGTATATTCGATAATTCGTATTAAAGGATCTATACGATTTCTCACTTTTTCAGCAAAAATCCGAGGTTCTACGATATTCTAAAACAGTCGACTCTTTACACAGCGCATATGCATGCGGGAAATTATACACGTATGTACAAATGAATTTTTACAGAAAGTGCTGGAACCGTTTGAGCGATCGCGCTGCTCCCGTCTCGCTTGAAAAGCCGAAAATGGCGCTTCGAAAGCGCGCGACTGCGCTCAGATCCTGTCACAGGGCATCGTCGGTGTCGCGACTTAAAGTGTTTTCTTACTTCAAGTCGACTCTTACCATTCGTAATTCATCTCGACTCCCTGGGAAAGTGAGAAACTGAAACGGCAGACGCGAAACGGCAGAAACGCGAGCGCACCCGTTCAGCATTTTTTTGAACGTATTCCGTATTCGTTCAAATGATTAACATATATAGACTTGTTTTCAAAACGGCTTGAATATATTTTCTCGGCGCAGTTCACAAAGCAGCCGATGTTCCCGATGCGAGAACTTTTTCACCAATTCCTAGGAGTTAGCAAAACGATCATTGACAAAACGTCGCAGCGACATTTAGTAGCTCGCAGCGTATTTTAATATACAACTTTTAATGTTGCGTTAAGCGTCATTGCGAATAACTTCATCACTTCGAGATTTCATAAACATGTTTACGATATTCCAAAGGATAATATTGTCTGGTAATGTTTGGAAAATATTTTTCGAATACCGAGCGAAAACGTTCGGGAGATACGTGAAAAATCAACATTTCAAGATGTTGATCTAATGTTCTTCGTTTACTGAATAAGCTCTCTCGTTGGGCCGTCGTTGCTTGCGTTTACCGCGGTAAACTGCAAAAAGGTGTTCAATCCGTATCGAAGCCAAGTGTATATACATATACGATAAATCATCGATACTATACACATCGTAACGCATACAATGGACAAAAGTATTCGTACATTTCGTTCTTACAGATGAGGGGTAAATTTGGATTGTGTCAGTCGTAACGTAACTTTTTGAGCGAAAGCGCATTAAACTCAATCCTGTGTGAATTCACGAAACATTGAAGAAACGACACGATAGAAAAAGTTTCAAATGGAAACACGGTAAGAGTTTACTTCGACTTACACTTAATCCTTCGCGTAATACGAACAGCCAGTCTCACCTTTCGGTTCCATTACTTTCGTCGTTAGATATATCTTCCCTGGTAAAGCCGATTATACACGGACATCATAAATACGGATGCATTGTGGACGACTAACGCTATTCATAGTGAAAGAGTTGATGTTAGGTGTACTAGTAACTTTTTCACTCGTTATACATATACTATATAAATGCCCTGGTGGGTCTTTAACACCCAACTTATTCTACTAGTTGAATCGCAACTTATTAAACTACGACATTGACACGATAGGCTTGATAAGTAGAAGCAGTTCTTTGACTTGGCTCAATTTCTCATTCAACGACTATAAACAACAAAAGTGCACGTAATACATTCTTAAATTCTCCAATCAGGATTTCCCCGTTGACATCACGTCGCTCCTTGGTGCGAAAAATTTGGCAGTGATCGGAAAGTTTCTCGAGAAGTTTTCTAGACGAAAGTTCAGACCGGAAGTTACAAAAACCGATATGTTTGTTGTTAAGGAGTTCTGTCCTGCGTGGAGAAATATTTCGGGCTCGGCGAGACCTTAAACATTGATCTTAAAACACATCACACTAGAAGAAAGGAAACAAATTTACGGTCTGTTGAATGGACATTCTAGAATTATTGACTTAGGCTGTACTAGTGTGGTTGTTAGCGCCGCTGATGGCACTGAACAAAGCAGCACTATTACGTTTGAAGCTCCCCACTTGCTCGTCCGGCCATATCGGCTCCCCGAGTAAGGACGACAAACTCTGGCACAATTTCTGATAATTCTCGCGCAATACTTCTTGGTACTCGTGTTGGTCCGGCGTGATTAGTTTGCTATTAATTTGTAACGCTGTGTAACATATCTTGACGAATTCCCTGAAATCATGATACAACCGTAAGCCCCACTGCATCTCGATGCTGCGTGCAGAGAGAGATTACAAAGGGCGAAAATGAAGATACGTACCTAAAGACATCCTTCAGTTCCTCTACCTTGTCGTCAGGATATTGGGGAGACAGTGCGGGATCCAGGAATGCCGAAGCGTAGGCCAGTGGACCGGCATTTACCGTCACGCAGATGCTACCCTGAAGACGCAACTGCAGCTTCTTTACATCGGTTGGTCCAATCAAAGCTACGTCTTCCAATTCTTGAACACGTTGCCTCATCTCATCCAAAGCGACTTCGATAGGACTGAGTTCCACTATTCGTTTCTCGGCAATTCCAATGCGCTTCTTCACGTACGGGAAGGAATATTGCGCTACGAGAATAACAAACTCGTGCAATCTTCGGATTTCCCTTACTCTCGAGGAGCGAAAATCTTAGATAAGCGAATTAATGAAATTGTGAAATCGTACTTGTGAGAATAGTCCTGCGTTTCCACTGATCCTCCGGGCTGCCTCTCGCCTTGCCCTCCTTCGTGAACGGCGTTTCGAACATGAAACAGGATACATTATGATTCTGCTCAAACTCGGTCTGTCGCACTTCCAACTCGGGCTTCTCGAAGTACGGTGTTACGTGCGTTACTTGGATGTACGCTATCTTGGGATCTAACTCGCTCACATCGACCGGCACGGAATCCATGATCATCTTAACGTTCTCAGATCCAAACTTTTCGCTGTATAAACGCAACAAACGCTCCGATATTTCAGATAACGACGTTACTTTCGGTTCCTTGTAGATATATTCTTGGCCGGTCTCCTCCTCGAAATATGCCTGAATAATAATACGTTTATATATACGTTAAGTTTATTATTTTACAGTGTTAGAACACCGGTCGTTTGACGTATAACGCAAATTCCGAACTTATTTAGACCGTAAATTTGCCTGTATGTACGCTAGATTTTTGCATTATAAAGATGCACAGGCCCGACTAATGATAATATAACTTACCGTGCCAAAGAATGCTATTCTGTAAAATCTCCCCAGCAACCTCTTCCCAGTTCGATTGACTTCCACGATTTTGTTGCAGGCCTGCGCCAAGTGCGAGTAACAGTTAGCCAAAGCCTCGTAATTTCTCTTCTCTTCATACATAGGAACTATCAAACGATACAAATGGCCAAGCAACTCAAAACGCTCGGCTTTCTCCAACGTGTCAGCACAAACTTCCAATTGCTCGAGAAGTAAACACTGATTATAGTGAATATCTTGAACACCTGAAAGAAAAAAAAAAACGTTTTTGTGTTTATCTGAGAGCACCTGAGAATCGGATCGAGACAACCATCTACGCAAACGCTCAACGCATGCGACAAGGAAAATAAGGACAACACAAAAAAGCAAACATACAAATCTCACCAGCGTCGAGCTTAAGATTACACTCGTCCCTCGAAATGTTCACGGAAATCTGATCGAAAGCTTCCGCGCCCCACGGATGAACCTTCCGCAATTTCAGATATTCAGCCATCAGTGCTGCAATATGTAGTTGACAGCAAGCGGCCTTAAAAACAAAAGAGAAATATGTAACATCGTGAAGTATATTCGAGTTCGAAGGCATTGCCTCGACATTTACACGCGTAGGTAATTTCTCGTACAAATTATAGCTACCTCGGAAAAGTTACCATCCCTGGCATGGTTCCTGGCCATCGTCTCTAACCAGGTATGCCTCAATTCAGGTGTGCTGGCGTAGGAGTTGGCCAAGCTGTGTTGCAAATCGACGAGCATCTCGGGATCGTTATTGTGCTCTCGCATTTGCGCTGTTGCCATTAGGACCGTTCGAATCCTTTTGTTGAGATCCTTCACCTCAACCGGAAAACCTGTACCCTTCATGACCTTGTCTGAGGAAGCGTAACTATTGATTAAAGACAGCGATTCTTGAAATCGCGAATTATTCAGGCCAATTACGTTTCCCAGCATTTGAGAGACCGAAATTATCACCTGTAACACGCAACAAACGTACGGTAAATTCTGTATACGTGTAAAATGTTTTCAATTACGAGTGAACAGAACGCTCAACGTGTTAGTAGAGACCCGAGCGAAGCCGGATCAACTCGAGGGATTTAAAAGTATAATTAAAAAACCGTTTTTTGCCCGTGGAAAAAAGAAAAACCGAAAAGATCCGTCAAAAGAAGGGAAGAAACGCTCTTTTTTTTTTTTTACGCTTTTCGTGGAAAGAAAGCGAAAAAAACCGCGGAAAAATGGAAACCCCCGTTTTTTCCCCGAATCCTTTTAAAATTACATTTAAAATATAAACGTGTAAGTACCGCACCTGCAGATGCACTCTGGTCAATCCTTTTCGGCTGGTAAACTCAAAGTTACTTCGCATCAGCAAATATAGCAAAGCGCAGGACTCCTGCCGTATAGAGCTCAACTTGCTGTTGCAACAACGCAGCAACTCGTAACACAAGCGTCCGCAAAGCACAGCGTTGCCTACAGGGCGAGATATTTTGTTCAAGCTTTGTGCAGATTTTACGCGAGTTTCCAGCTTATAAGCTAATTATAATTAACGTGTTGTCCACGTATCTGTCTGAACTCTAAGTACGAATTTTACTTATGACACGCTATAACGACGAGTCAAAAAATGAAATTCAGTAGTAAATCTCGTGTAAAGTTAACAAACCTCATCATTCTATTTTATAAACAAGTGCTAAATTCCTAAAAAGATACGAGGTTCGAGTGCTAGATTCTGAAAAATCAACAGTACCTTGGAAAAGCGCGATGGAATAGTTATTTAAAAAGGCTCTGAATCCAGCGAAAACATGGCGCAACAATGTTTCCGACTGTCCGACTTGGAGGAACGATAAATAAATGTTGAACAGCTTTTGCATTATTGGATTTTCGCCCTCGTTCGCCAAGAGAATATCCTGCGGGAAATGGGACCGTATTTGTATTCGTGTCGACTTTCCAACGCACGAAGGCGAGAAAATAAGAAAACTGCGACGTAAGCTGATCGTAAGTACCTTGAAATGAATACAAAAGAGTCCCAGGCAATCCAACGCAATGAGACCGACTTCGGTCGCCATGTTCGCTTCCAGTAGAGCTTGGTATACCTTGCCGCTATCATTTTCGACGAGATTTTCTCTAGTCGCCGTATTGTGAGGTTGCAACGTGCTGGTAGCGGCACTCTCGGTGGTGAAATCCGGCGGCGCCATCCTGGCGGGCAGAGTCATCGCTTTGACAGTACGGGGTTTCCCGGAAGAGCTCGTAGCGTTAGCGGCTATCTGTCTCTTACCGATGTATTTGAAATGGTGCAAGCTCATCCTGAGGATACAAAAGAAAACGACGTCGTTCACACACACCCGTTCTCTCTCTCGTCACATCATTAGGTTATCCTCATTTTCTATTTATCACGCTGCTCACTCGATCACTGCGAAGAAGCTCAGTATCTCCGAGTCGTTGCATTGTTGCCACCAAGCGATCACTTGATGGTCACCCAGGTACTTGATGACAAACAGGAAGCACAACAGTATATCCTTCACTTCCGACGGCTGCAACTTGTCGCACCTGGGCAGTGACTGCGTCACGCTCAAGGTGCGCGAATGTCTCTTCCTCTCGCCCGTTCCGTTTTCCGCCAGTTCCCTGACGATGGCGGTCTCCTGGGAGACGTTAGATTGGGATGCGCCGGACACGGTCGACGTGTCGGACTCGACACTGGTGCAGGAATATCCGTTGACCAATCCTTGGCCGGCGATGGCGGCGAAGTAAGTAGAATCCCGAAGGTGCATCGACGTTCTCACGGGTGACTGGCTGTCCAGGTGAAGAGTCAATCTGCGCGACATCCCTTTGACTTTCAATCGATCACCCAATACAGATCGTTCCGATGATGAACTGAAATCTACCTGTGGAGAGACTTGGGTGTGCCCGAGCTCGTGGCGTTGAGAGAGACGGTGTCCTTTGCCGTGAGGAACGAGCTGCTGGTGGACACTCGGCTCGTGCCGTTCTGTTTCGCGTCCGTTTTCATCTCGTCCTGCGTCGACTGCAACCGATGCAAGTTCTCCAGCACAACGCCCAGCCACGGTATGTAAATCGACGCTATTCTGCTCAGTTGGCCCTGTAATGAAAGATTGATCTTCCTTCGAACACGCTCCTCCAGGCATCACACGTTGGGCGAACCCGTCGGCAAATTACCGAACATCCCCACCTTATTCTGATATCTGTCGTCCAATTCGTGCTTCGCCAATAAATCCCGTAAAGTTCCTATCGCCACTTTACGAATCTGCACGATCTCATTGAGAGAAGTCCTGACTTCTTGCATCAGAAGACCAACCAGGAAGTGGTGCTTGCAGAACTCTTCCGTAAGGCAATACTCGTTCATCAAATCTGCCACGAAATAAAAACCCCTCAGCTTAATCCCCGCTGTCACGACGTTCACTGTCTCTAATGCGATGCAGTTGTGATTAGGCGTGACGGGGATCGTGAAAGTTTTGCAAACACAAATAATGAAATAGTGGAACTGTGGTGTTTAATCCTGCAAAAAACATGGATGCTGCATCGGCAAACCTAAATGTGTCGATTTGAGAAACAACGATTGTCGAATCAACAGCGTCCTTCCAAAAGAGGCGCTTCGCCAATTAAAAAGCACCGAAACCGCGCTAATTGTGACTATAAACAAGGAAACGTATGCAACACGTATTCGTGCGTGACTGTAGTTATAAACGTACCATCGCATTCTGGCTCGCTCTCGGCGTCATTGTCATTGTCTTCCAAACAAGACGCGAAACAATGAAGTCAGTTAATCGAATTAGTAAATGTTCGCCGCAGTTTACCTCGAATCTATCCAGCGTTACGTCTAAGAAACTTACCTCTAGAGGCAAGGCGCGACTGCATCATCGGCAAATTGAAAGACACGTAGTGTTCGTGAGAGCAGATAATCTGCAAGAAAGCGAACTTGAAGTCGTGCAGCGTGCGTTGATCGCCGGGCGAGAAGTTGTCCAGGTAGGAATTGATGAGGCGAAATACGAAGCCCCGATCCATGAATGTGAAACAACGCTGTGCACATTGAGAGAATCTAAATGAATATCGCGACGATGCAGACGACGCATACGATTAGATCACGCGTGTTACGATCGTGGGAAATCGGCGTACCTTCAAGAATTGGCCGAGACTTTTGTTCAACTCGTGCGTTTCCACCGGCATCTCTTTGTACTTGGTCATTAGATACGGCATGATCACTTCTAATAACGTCTTGATCTTCTCGTGATAGTCCTTCGAGAATCGTTCGTTCCTGTGCATCTAAATCAGAAATTGTGCCTTTCATCTGGTCCGCCAGCGACGACGATGTTAAAATGCTTCGAAATTCGCGAAGAACGCGAAGAACTCACTTTGATCCTGCCGGTGTTCAGTAAATACTGGGCCATACTTTTGATCATTATCTCGAAGAAAAAGTTGGAGTGATGCATGAACTTGTTCACCACCAGGAAGTCGGTGTTGCTCGGCTGCAGCAACGTCGGCAAATACTTCGCTAGTTGTTCGTGCACCGTGGAGTTACCGTTTCGTAGCGGAGGCAGCACGAACACAAACTACGAGTAGAGTAAGACCGATCGCAAAAACCGCCGAAATGCTCAAGTTCCAAGGATATTTCAAGATTGTCCAAACCAAATGGGAGATTTGATATTTCATTGATACTCGCGGGATCCCTCACCTTGATGTATGCCTGCAGGATTTCTTTGCGGCCGGCTTCGTGCACCATGTTTATGAAGTGTATCAGGACCCTGATCACGTACAGTCCGATCTCTTGATTCGTATTGTACGTCAGCAACACGAACAACTGGTTTAGTATAGTAGGTAGAAACGTAATAACGGTGACTAGTTGAACCGCGTGTGCCGCTTTCAAGATTTTGCACGTCTCCGAATCCGAGGGAGTCGCCGACGGCTTCGTATCCAGAATGCGTTCGGCGTGAACGAAAAGATTGTGCAGATGAAGGTCCCTTGTAAATACCGTTGAGATTAATTGAAAAGATACCGTGAAGATTGGCCGCTGCGAATCGATCCAGGTAATATCCGGCCCCGCGTTCTGCGAAAACACGTACGAGTCAATATTGCTCTTGCTCCTTTGCGACGAAAGCTTGCACCAATACAGCTAGGTACGTGGACGAGATATGCAGGCATGGAAACGGTTTAACCGTCAAAAATAGCGGGAAAAGTGATTTTTCATTCTTGAAAAAGTATGACAATAATGAGTCGGTTTTAAGAGAAGCGAGACTTTTCTAAACAATTTGTTAGAAATTATTTCTTTTTATTATATCATTCTTCGAAGAGATTAAAAACAATAAATCTGTGAAGGTGAATGAAAAGCAAAATTTTAATTTTAGGGAATAAAAGTTACATAATACATAAAATCTAAAGTTTACTTTAAACTCAATTTTAGGCGTATGTTCGAACGCAATAAAATTCTTCATAAAACATCAAATTCTTTGCGTTTTTCTTTTTTCGGACACATTTAATGAAATAAAATAAATACAATACTCGAGTCTCAATCATGCACGCTCATGGCGGTCATTATTTTCTGACAAACCTGACAAAAACAGTCTAAAAACAAAATCACGGTTTATGAATTCGTTATGTCGTAGGAGTCGTTGTTATTTTCCATTTTTACTAAACATTTTGTTCCATCTTCAAAGAAGCTAGTTTAACTTCAACGAAGTTAGTTGAACATGATTTATTATGATCGAGTAATTTTTTTTTCTTTTTTAAGAACCGAAATCAAGTAACAAAAAAGTGAGAAAAGTAAGTCGCTTCCATGTCTGGATGCACAAACACAATAGCAGACATTAATGAGTAATACTGATGATCGATCTTACTCTTACCCCTTTCCCTAGCCCAAGGGGTTGTATTGAAAGGTATCCTGCTGGCAAGTGCGTCGCCACAGGCAATACTTGGATATTCGACTCTATATCCACGTTCAGTCTGCACAAATACGGGATCATCATCTCAAGAGACATATTTATCTTCATATTACTATTATCACACGATCACGTGCGATAACGTATCTGCTAACAATTGTAACGTCGTCATCTTACCTACCTTCCTTTATGCAGCAACGGTGCCCAAGCATAACCGACGCAATTCTCAACGCCGTTCTCCTTCTTCTTGTTCATATCGCAACTTATATGATAAAAGGAGAATAGTATATGATGCTTTGCGTGCAGTTTCCTAGGTAGCTTCATCTTAATTTCTTCGTACCAAGAAGGCACTGCGTTGTGATGCAAGACCGCGCACGACGCTCGCAGACACAACAACGGTGAGCCTGGTCTTCCATAAATTGCCTGTCACAAGATGTAAAATGGTAAAAAGATCCCTCTTTTTTTAGATCCTTCGGTTGTTCGGTAGACCCTGTAGAATGCTTTTTATTACGTACTCGCAAAGGCACAACATTCTCATTGTCGTCGTCGCGTAGCTCCACGATGCACGCTATGTTCCTAGCACGAGTGAACATTTTCTGAGCGTCGAAGCAGAGCGTCTGCGGATATATGTAGAGATGATTGACGTACGTCGTGTACGGATGCACTTCCCTCTCGGAAGTGCTCTCGAACTCGGCGACCTCGATCGTCGGCTCCGCCGTCGGGGGAATCGGAAACGGCTTTAACGGCGCCAGGCATGTTGACAACGTATCTAGAAATCATATTTTATACGTCTATAAAATACCTGGAATCATTCAGAACTATCGGCCGTATTCCCTCTCTTTTCTTATTTTGACGAATCAGTAAGATAATCACCGGCGAAAGCCGGTGTCACCGCGAGAGAATTGTTGAGAAAATTATTCGGAAAGACCGAGTCACGAAGCTTGGTCTTATTTTTAATGTTATTGAGTCTTTCATAGTCTTGTATTTTCAAGAGCTCTGTAAACTTCTTCGGCCCCAAAGTACTCGGGAACTTCGTACAACGGAACGTAATTGCATACAAAGTCCAGGTAAGGAAAATTTTCGTAAGAACTTATTATTTAAATACGCACTTTCAGGAATATCCGTAATAGGCTCGATTCTTATTTTCAACCAGCCAGGTATCACAGTCAATTTGCTAAGTTTCTCAGGCCTGCGAGGAAAATTTGTTCATCGTCATGATCGCCGATATTACAAATAAACGCATATTAAATATTTTATCATATATTTCTCGACACCGTGCGATACGCACTTTCTGTATTCCGAAAGGAGCTTCAGCAGTTCCTCGTCCTTTATTTTGTTGCCGTCCTGTCTGTATATCGCCGGGAAATCCGAGGACGTGTCCAGTTCGTTGCTGTACAACCGGAACAATGGTCTTGCGGCCCACGCAAATGGCATTCTGTAATTTCCTAACCTGACGAAGGAAAGGGAACTGAGGTTTTCAACCGCAATCTTAATTCGCAAATATCTCGTTCGCACTTTCGACATTGTCAAATACAAGATGTAAGTATAAATTTACAATCCTACCTTTGGCAACAAACTCGGACTTGCTTGTGTACTTTTAAACCCAATCTCGGATCCTTAGTGGCTCTTAAATAAGGTTCTGATGTCTGATGTATGTTCCCTTGAAGTACTTTGTCTATCCTTACGACAAGAAATATGTCCGGGTGAGGATTGCTGATATTGAATATCGCCTGCAATAGCAACGCTTTGAATCTTCGGGCTTTTGACAAATCTTTACCTTGGAATTTCGACATTTACACTTATATATTACGAGAGAATGCACATTTAAGGGAATTACGATCGTTAGCGTCTGTTTCTCCTATCTTTTTCTCGCACGAAAATCATTGCGTGAATCACCTGTCTCGGATATTTCATCCAGTCCGAAGGGATACGGTTCAATTCTCCAGGGAGTGCGATATCCTCCGTCTCGGTCATGATTCCCGCAGGGCTCAGTTCCCTCATCACGTCCCGCATAATTTCGTGATTAACATCGAAGTGGAAATTCTCAGTGAGCTTCCTGCCATTCCTCGCGTCGAAGAGGCTCAATGTCGTGTGATAAGGTTCCACTTGACAGAGGGACTCCTTCTCGTCGATTGGTGCTTGCAGTCTGAACTTAAGGCTCTCGCATTTCACGAAGATCCTGTGACCAAACTGTTCCTTGTAAGGATCCACGTTATGATCGGTGGTTGGGCTTGTTTGCGCCTTGACATGTGCCATGTAAGGGTACACACTGAACAGTCTTTTTCTGTTCTCTCTCCTCGCTAAAGCAATGCTGGTGTCAGTCTCCCTTGAATACTTTATCAATTGTGGATTCATGCTCTGTTCCAGCCCCTTCAATGTGCCATAAACCTGAAACGCAAGATTATCGCACTCTTGATTAAGCCGTCATCTCATCATAGAATCGGTTTCATGGCGAATAGTACTTTTATATGAAGAATGATTACTTATGCATAAAGAACAATGAATTAATGTGATAGATTGAAGAGTATTTTCACTTAAATTAGTGATAACGATTGTACCACCTGCATCGGCTGCGGGGATGGTGGAGGTGTATTACAAGCTCTTTCCAATGAAGCAGCGCGTTTCTCCTCCTGCTGTTTGTAATGTTGCAGCACAGAACTGAGCTTCAACAACCAGTCTTGCATATCAGCCTCGTTCTCAGCGGCCAGTGTATAAGATTTGTGAGTATCGCTCATTCGGAGCTCAAAGCTGAACCTACCACGTTTGGCATTTCTGACAACTTCTGTGCAAAAATCCATCACTATTGTCAATTTGGCCTCCCCTTTCCTCTCGTCTTTGAAAAACTCGAGTATATAAGTGCCGTCGACTTCTTGCCTTAGATGACAGAAGCGTCTCTTAAATGATTTCGAACCTATATGAGCGAACATTCTATCCGTACTACCAATCTCAGGACCTTTCATCAAATAGCCCTCCTTCGTTATACCATCGTTCTTCGTTAAATCCTACGGAAACACGCGGACGATCATATTCAACTCTAAATACGTGATAAAAATACAATTTCTAACGTAACTCATATAAAATTTCAATGATCTGTCGAAGATTCAGAACGTGAATATTGAAACACAAGTCTTCAAGAAAGAAAAGGGAAATACGTTACCTCATCAACTTGATCTACTTCGGTATCTATTTCATATACTTCGTCTTTCAGATCATCCGCTTTGGCTATTCTGTAAATTAATGAAATGAAAGCATCTAATAAATGACTTTCATTGTTCACCGCAAAGGATCCTTCCACCACACTTAAACTTATACCTTGGCAACTCGAGATAAGTTCCACTATATGCTGAATATTTGTAATGTACAAGATTCCAATTTGACGTGTAACTACGTAAACATTCCTTCGTCAGGAGATTTTCCGTTCCTTCGTCACATTCCGTAAAATGTTGCAAGGTTGGCACGACGCTACGGTATCTTCTTGGCAGAACCACTTGCTGTCCGGAAAAAATATCTCTATCAATAATAACTTTATTATTTTTCAGAAAATTAATGTTTCCAATTTCTCGAAAAAGAAATTATAATGTTACATATGCTAAAAAAAATTATATCTCAACGATAAGAATATTATTAGTATATCCTTTAAATTTATCTCATATCCTGTAAGATTGTGGTTCTACGTTAGCTTATCTATATGAATAAAACGGATGTGGATAATATGCTGACGAGTATATAAAATAGTCAGAATTGTGACTCACAGAAATATCATCTTGGGGATATAGTAGCAGTTCTCGTTGGGGATCATTTTGCAGCAATGTCTTATTCTTCAGGACAAAACTCTCAAAGTCAATGGGTTCAACTAGATGCGGTTTATTCTACGAAAGATATGTCAATTTTCAGAGATAAAGAATCAATGTGACTCTTAAGCATAACACTTAAATTCTACATAAAATCCTTGAACCTTTACTCCTTGGTTTGTTACTTGAGATCAAACATAACTCTAAAATTCACTCTAATATATCGGAAAAATTCATCTTCTTTAGTTCTTGGATTTTTACTCATTGGAAAGGACATGGAAAGGATAACGTGAGGTGCATCGTCGTCGTAGAATTTCTCACAGACGCGTCAAACATATCTCAACGCGAGAAACCATCGCGTCTCTCAACGAAGCTGAGCGCGTAGCAAGTCGGAAGGGAATCAAAGTTCCCGACTTCTGCTCAGTCCGTTGCTTGTTTACATCTTGAACTTTCTCGGTACCGCGGTATCTTTAACCTCGGACGTGGGATTCATATTTTTCAATAATCATACGACACTTGATCATCCGCAGTTCGTTATCTTGGCCGTATCTGCTCACGCTCTTTCACATTCTATGAAAGAATCTTATCTCTCTATAAATACTCTAAACTTCACGAATGATAAGGAGCTCCCCGAGCGTTCCCCGAGCGTTTCCGCGTTACTTGATCGCACGATTTCCCCAACATTTCCGCGGCGAGAGATGTGCCGACAGTTACCGACGTGGATGAGCAATGATAGCCTCTCACCTGTACGGTACTTTCCCGGACGACCTGCGATACGGTTTCCCGCAGCTGCGCCGCCATGCCGGGCTTGCCCAAGCCGCGCGTAAACTTCCTCTCGCTCATTCTCGCCGACACTGTTCAATGTCATTCGGGCTAAATCGGCTGCCTGATGCCGGCGCATCGATGGCCTCGTTAGGCCGCCGCATAGATCACCGTGCCCAGCTGGAGCCGGGCTCGAGTTGGAAAACAATCAAATACATCACCGCGTTGTAACCCGCGACCACTGTGACAATCGATGGAGAACGTGCGAATAAGGGCGTGCGGCTGCGCTCGGAGCTTCAAGCGCCCCAGACGCTTTCATCAAGCAACGGTGGTAATATTTCGCCGAGCAACGTGATGTGCTTTCAGCGAGGAACAAGACCGTCTCATTGGCCACGTATTATCTCTAGATGTCAGCTTTCATCTTGAGGCAATGCGCAGCCAATCAGACGGCTCTGGGTTCGTTGCTGGAAGGTATCTCTAGTATTTTATACGATAGAGTAGAACGTGGCGACACTGAAGAAAAATAGCCGCAGGTTGTATGTTTTTATACATTATTGGTTATGTGCCAAGTATTTCAAGTTCATTTCTCCTGGCACGCACGGCGCATCGGAAGCCGTTACGTGTTGAACGATCCGTCGTCGGGTAGGATCCACTTTATGTTGTAAATACTTTGAAACATCATATAGCCCGGTATTCATAGTCGAATCTTATATTTAAGACCGTCTTAAGTGTTTCGTAGCCAATGAAATGAACCGTACAGCATCTCAAGATAAACCCAAGACGGTCTTAAATATAGATATAAAAATAGAAGATCCGACTACTGAAAGGTTCCGTTCAACGTTCGCGAGCATTGTTCTGTCTTTGTTTTTAACGCCCAAGAGAAACAAGGATAGAATGATGCTCACGACCGTTGGGAGCGTTAAGTGGAACGCATCCATCGAATACCGGCCATAGGCCAATCTCTCATCAGAGAGAAACCTGAGGAGCGGTCGCGCCTGGTTGTGCAGTTTCATTGGCTACATATTATCTTAAGATGATATCTAACCAATGAAATAGCTGTGCTTCTCGCTGGTAAGTAATCTAATTGTTCAAGGGTGCAGTTCTCTCGTGCTTTCCAGCGTTGCTGTAATATCACTAGATACGCGTGCGTGTGTGCGTGCGGGCTCTGCCAACGATTGTTTCGCCATACACTGCCGAGTATTTGTTGTATCAGCGAGCGAGCTGTAACCGAAGTCGCGTGTAAAACTTAACCAGGAAGTAGTCGTATAAAATTGTAACTTATTCGAGTAGCGAAAGCATGACAACGGTAGCAAGGCCGACTTTTGAGCCTGCTAGAGGAGGGCAAGGACGGGGCGAGAAGGACCTGAGTGCGATCTCGAAACAATACAGCAGCAGAGACTTGCCATCGCATACAAAGCTTAAATACAGGTAAGTGCGAAGTTGCATACTTGTTTGTTATTATTCCCTCGAAGACTTGCAACAATTACGTATTAACGTACAATTATCGAGATTCGAGAAAGTCATCACGTTATTTACACTTAATGATGTAGGCTTACCCTATTTTATGGTTATCGTATGTAACAACAATGACTATCGGAGTAAAGTAAGTTCACAGGCTTATATTTACGTAATCCTGTCGCATCCTTAACACGTATGCTTCGAGAAGTAAGATATCTAATCTTTAAATGAAAATCACCCGAAGTAAATATGTTAAGATGAGTAACATGTATTTCTGACGCTGGGCTACTTCTCATTTATATCTTGTGTATAAATTAATGTTTATAAATCAAACACCATTGATTGTGTATACGGACGATATTATACACTCAATTGGTTTGTTTTGGTATTATTTCTCTTTACAGAGAACATGGTCAGGGAACGATCGAAGAGCTACGAAACCGTGACTTCAGAAAGGAATTGGAGGAAAGAGAACGAGGGGAAAAGGAGAAAGGATCAAGCCGTCGTGCCATCGAACCTTCCAGAGAACCAACTGCATCTAATACGAAAAGACAGAAGCTAGATCAAGTTCCTGCGGCCAGCTTAGATGCGGACGATCCACTCGATGATGACGAGTCGGATTCTGACAGTGATGAAGATGACACCGCGGCGCTTTTAGCCGAGCTGCAGAGGATTAAGAAGGAACGCGCGGCGGAACAAGCTAAGAAGGTAAATGCCACTGATTTCATCGGTTAATATCGCGAGGAGTTGAAAAAGTAAGAAAAGATTAGATCCGAACGTTGTTTCTCGCGTTGCAGGAAATGGAGAAACGCCAGGAAGAAGAGAGGATACGCATGGAAAATATTCTCTCAGGCAACCCTTTGCTAAACTATTCCTCCCAAAGCGGCAGAGTAGATATGAAAGTACGAAGACGATGGGACGACGATGTAGTTTTCAAGAATTGTGCGCGTTCCGAGCCAAAAAAGAAGCACGATGTCTTCATCAACGATTCGCTGCGAAGTGAATTCCACCGCAAATTTATGGAGAAATACGTGAAATAATTTATTATCCGAGCACAACACGTCTGTAAATACTTTTCTAACGAATTTCGCTGGTAAAAGACATAGTTCTCTCTCCTACACATGTGTTAATTATCGTAATAATAGTATGCAAAGAAAAACTGTGATCGGGTTAAATCGGAGTTTTAAGACTTAAAGATTTCGCAGTCTTTAGAATACCACATTTTTAACACATGCAATCATTTAGTAATTGTTCGACTTTAATATTATTAAGTACCGCATTAAATATGTTAGAGTGTATTTTCCAAGTAGAAATATCATATACGTTAAGCCTCTAGTTTTATTATCTATTGTGTTATCACTTCTAACTTGCATAAGAATAAAACTCTAGAATTTATAAGATAGAACACCTTCATACTGACTCGTTGCATCCTACGTTTCTTAGTTCAGCTGAGAAAACAATATTCATTTGACATTTATACCGTTTTGTTTTTTTTATTCAAGCGTTAGATCCATTAATTAGAAAATGCTCGGACATACATGATATCTTACTACGAAAATGCTGACAAGACAATACGATTATTATCAAACCGGTGATCAGGTCGTAACATTATTCTGATAAGGATTCATATTATATTTCTGGAATTCCGTTTTCCACCCCCCCTAATAGCGGATCTCTCTCGGCCTACGAGACATCGTCTTTACGGGTCGGCGGTTCCCATAGATAAACACCTGATAGGGCTTTAAGGGAATAGGGCTCGCTTCCGTAGATCTTTGGTCCCGTAACTGCTTCGAGCTCGCAGATGGTTGAGTAATAAACGGAGTATCCTTCGTAGCCCATCTGCATAATGGCATCTCTCGTCCCACCGAAGTTTTATATCCTCGACTGAATTCCTGCCAATCCACTCCTCCTTTCTCCTCCTACACCACCTCCTACAACCGTTCCTGATCCGTACCTGTGCGTTCCGTACGCCTTCAGGCCGTGCGGTATACGTGTTTCGGTAGCAGCGCGCAATCCGGTCTCGGGCGGCGCACAACGAACCGCGCGCTGGGTCAAGTATAACCGGTCCCAGAAGCCCCACGGGGCCCGCCGCGTTCAGGCAGCAGGCAGTCTACCGGTGCAGCTGGTTATCGCCGGTAGACTTCTTGGCACCGACTTGACACCAACATGGCCAACTAACTTAACGCACCCAGCCGTCTAACTAAGAGAGCCACGGAGCGCACCTGAATTAAGACAAATCGATATGGATTAATCCGGCAAATTTGAAATTGAGTTTAATACACGTTTCAATTGCCTTCCGTGTCACTTCGTTCCTTTCAGCTCATCCGATGACACGTCGCGGACACTGGGAATATTTAATTCCTCAATTAGAGTAATCGATTGTATCTTCTTCCAAAGGGATTTCCACACTTGACGATTGCATCGACAGAGAAAACCAACGTTTCAATGAAGAATTTGGAAAGACTCGTAAATGAAAATCGAACGATTTCAGAAACTTGAATTTTTGTCGAAGACGATTGGGAACGTAATTTGTCGAAATGCGAAGTTTGTCGAGTCTTTCGGATTTGCGTATTGTTAGGATTGAGGATCTTATGGATTTTAAATGTTAATAGGTATTGTTGGCGGAGAAATGGTGATTGTGATAATGATAGAAAAACAATAGAAGCAGAGATGATCGGTTATAGCATAAATAAGGAATCGAAGGGAAGAGAAGTTTCTTGAATGTAAATTATTGTATTGCTCAATATAAGTATAATATTTGATATAGAAACTTGAACATTTTTATTTGCACGAATTTCTTCTCTGTGTGTCTTTAGCGAAAGGTCGATGTGGGATAGGAAGAGTATGGTGTAAGGGGATTTCCCTGGTGAACGCACCTCTGCTGCAATTGATGTACGTCAAGAATTCGCCTCGAGGCATCTCTATCTGTTCGCATTCCCATCTACCGTCACATCTGTTTTATTTACGCCTTTCTGTATACTCGTAGCAAACAAGCAAGCAATGGTAACACATTAATCAAACGAAAATATCGCTTTTCGAGATAATTAAAATCAGTGCTATTAATTACACTACGTAATGATATTTCGAATAATAAGTGAAGTAACTATTTATTAGGTGGGGCATTATATCATTTCTATGCGTTGATATTTATTTTTTTACACACACATATATATATATATATATGTGTGTGTGTGTATATGTATATATAATATAAATTGCTTCCTGACGAATATTATGAAACTGAAATTTTATTTATCGTGATGTAGTAAATGTCAACATAAACACGTCAATTTGTCAAAATAACAAAAACCGGCATCCACAATTCAATTTTATATTTAAAATCACTTTAAAAATATAAAGGTGTACATCTAAAATTAAACGAAAATTTCGCGAAACGAATTAAGTTAAGTTCTCTCGTTTCAGTTTGCATAAACTTGATTACATTTGTACGTTTCTTTTATTTAAAAGTTGTTTTAATATGACTCTTCTAAATTCGTTTTTATATTCTGATTATAATATTTTAGAATATAGTATATAAGTACAGTTTTTCTAACTGACGAACATGATGTAATTACATGCAGGTACTTATGTCATTTTTCAATATTGTAAAAAGTGAGTGCAGTGGAATCACAAGTAAATATATAGAAGGCTGGATTACTTCTCTTAAAATTAAATCAGACATTTATTGATATTATTCGACTCTTCCATAAGAAACAGCAAAACGAAACGCGAATATTTTTATACGTGTTACAAAATCAACACAATTGTTTTCCACGAAAATGCATTGATAGACTTGATCGACTTTAAAAAAAGAAGAAAAACTTGGTCAGTTCGATCTAATAAATAGATCCGATGAAGTGAAAAGTAAATTTCTGCATTCCTCGTGTGTGCGCGCGCGCGCGTGTAAAGTCCAAGTTGATACTTATTTTTATTCACACCGCTCATCGATTTCATTTGATATTTGCGGCTTGAATTCACTTTCACCGCCGGCCACTAATCAGCTATACTGTTCCTTTTACATTTTATGGAATACGCCGGCCATACGTGTATGATCTGTTAGAGGATACAAAAATCGCCTCTCTGTCCAAGCACGTCGATGTTTTACGAATTAGTTAGCAATATGATCTTTCCGTCTGAGAATTACCCATCGTTATGTCGATTCGTCACGTTAATCACGTGAGAAGAGCTAACAACAATATTGCCGAGAACTTGCCGCACAAAAGCCGCGTGAAAGTACCCCATCGGTTCGTACTAAAGTTCCTTTTCCCAAAATCGCTCAATACCTTAAGAAGAGTCGTTCTTATTCATGTAAATAGAAATGCAATTCGAGCTGAGGATATTAGTCAGTCACATAGAAGAATCTTTTATAGTTCCTTAGACCGCCATCGCGTCCTCTAGTCCTGGTCCACGATACCACCTCGTTAGAGAGTCGAGTTATCGGCGACCAGTCCTGGTCTTCGATATTAACCGCCTACTCGTTCGGCAGAGGCGGTCCTACCTCTATGATCCAGGAACGTGTAAATGAAGAGTCAAAAATTCCAGATGGCACGAAACATCCCGAAATCATCTCGATTGGTATTCGGATGTCCTGGAGAGATTCCTAAGATGTCCTCAGCACGTTCAGGATGATTTTAATATTCGAAGTAATTCTTGATTTTTCACTTACTTATCATTACGCGTACAGCTCGATTTCTTTAGGGACACCGACCAGTGATGTCAATATCTGGACACGCGAATATCCAGATATTACTCAGACATTCGAGCCTTTCGGAGTATCAAGTATTCCCCTGGTATTCTGTTATCCGGTTACTTCGCAAATTACCCGAATACCGAATACTGCGATCAGTATAGATAGTATCTCAGAAAAGCCAAGTCAGCTGGTGTGAAATCAGCTTTTGGAAAAATCAGTGACAGATAAGAAATGGGGTACTACTTGCGTGATGTGGATCCTGAGCGCACGAGTACTCGGCTCTTTCGTATGATATACTCGAACATTATCTCATATTCGGATGGTGCCTGTGAATTTAAATATCAGGTGGATGTACCGGGACGCTTAGAGATAGAAATTATCCGGATACTTTTATCGACAGCGCTAATATTGTGATTTATTGAAAGTTTTATTTTATTTCCCATCAAACGGATTATACATTTAAACGGAGCCGATAAAAGCGCGATTATTATTCACGCGATTCGGCACTGTTCGTCATTCTGAAAATAATATTGAAAAAGACGATCGCGGTTTGTGCGTCCGCTTTCTGACAAAACAATTCGATACGTAGTTAAACAGCTCGGAATCGAATTCAGAAAACGAGCGGTCGGGGTATCGGGCGATAAGAAAGCTATTTGTACGTACCTCATCGTATGCCTTTTGAGCGAACGACGAATAAATGAGTGCATAAGAGTGAGGGTGTTGCGACAGGATACGGTTGACGTTGGTTTTTCAGGCTCAGGAATGGGATCAGATCGGCCTCGATACGGGCCTGGGAGGCGGTGAGCTTGCTAGAAAGACGACTCTGGACGACGACTGGCACGGTCCAGACAAACAGACTGGCACTGGCATCGCGGGAGTCGCCAGGAGTTACCCACGGTGACCCATGGTCACTCACGGTCCGCAGACGACGAGCGTTCGCGTTGCTTCCTCAGTCGGAGAACCTCGTTGACAAACGTTTGCTCGTGCCTCACGAGACCGTCCAGGCAGTTCCAAAGTCGGTACTTATGATAGAACAGCATTACCATTATCACGGACCAGCGATAATCAGCTCCGGAGATTGTCAGTTTGACAGTCCCGCGCTCCTGCGTTAGTTAACAGTGTCGAAGTGCCGAAGTGTCTCAGCGTCGAAGTATAATATACTTCCGAAGAGTGTCAAGGATATAATCGCAGTGAGACAGGCGAAGCCGCCGATCACTCCGTTGCTGAAGAATCGAGACAGCGAAGTTTCGAGCTCGGTCCCGTTCCTTCCGGGGCAGATCCAGCCAGGTGACGTGCGCGAGTGGATGTCATCGGCGTAGTGATTTCGGTCGTAGGTCGAGAGGAAGCGAGCCCACGGGAAAAGCGAACTTGAGGAGCAATCTGGTCGAAATCTGCGCGGGGCGATCGATCGTTCTCGCTCGACGTAAGCTCGAGTCGCGAAGAGCGCGAGGATACACGATCGTAGGAGGCGCAACGAGGAAAAACGCGCGGCGCATCAGCAAGAAAGACGCGATGCACCGTGAATTTCTGATCTCCCTGATTGAAGTCATCGAGCCCCGATGCGATCGTAGCGACGTAGTATCTTGGCGAATCTCGGCGCACGCCGACAAAAACGACTACCGAGGCGATCGTCTCTATCGAGACTTTCATGGTATCAGCGGGCGAAACAGCGCGACTAATCGCAGGACGAAGTCACCGAGCCGCTAAGGACACCGGAGGACGAAGAGTGGTCGGGCACGCGATGCCCATTCCTGACAACGAGACCGAAACGCGCGCATTCGTTGTACCGGGCGTCGTTGATCCAGATCACCCGTTCGCCAGGATCCGCATCGATCAAGATCACCGTTATTCGAGAATCTCGATCGGAGATTCGCGATTGGATCGCTAACTCCCTAGATCTCGAGTCATTTCGACTGGGAAGACTCGGAAATTCTCAGGTTATCGGGCCCGGGTGCCTCCAATTCGGTGATCTTTAAATAGCTCGGCCGAGAAATTCCTTGCGGGATATTTGCGTTATCGCTAGGATCGCAGAGGCACGTCCTCGTGGGGAACGAATGAAATTGTAAAAGAAGAGAAAGTCGGAGGGATCCTCTTCTCCCGTAGATGAGGAAAACGAAGAGCCGCGGGGGAGACGTCGCACGGGAATAATAAGAACGGAAGTGAGGGAGATTCGGTGGAAGGAGAAACGTTGTTTTCAGTGGGTGAAAAGGAAGATAAGGAGAATTAGTAAGCGAGAGGTGTGAGGCGGTGAAAGAAGATCAAGTAAAACGGGGGGAAAGGACGGTTGCGACTGTAAGACGTTGGCCCCTTTTCAACCGCCATCAGGATGTCACCCTGGTCCCTTCTCACCCTGTCGATTCTTGCTGCTATTTTCGGCGACTTCGCCAGCACTATCCGCGCCGAGAGGATGAGCGGTTTGTACGTAGACAACGGCTTCGACCAGACGGTGGTCCACCGTGTGGTCAGCCAACGTGAGAAACGCGAGGTCGAACACGAGATCTTGAACCTGCTGGGACTTCCGGATCGTCCGCGAAACACCATCGGCAGGTCCACCCAGGTCAAGAGGTCAGCGCCCAAGTTCCTACTGGACATTTACAAGAACGCCCTCGGCGAGGACGAGGAGGAGAGGCCCAAGTCGCATCGGCGCAAGGCTGGGGAATTCGGACTTACCGGGCAGGATCTAAAAGCGATCGATCAGAGCGATGTCATCATGACCTTTGCGCTACACAGTAAGTGATTTCAAGTCGAGCCGGCTGAAGTGTTTATCGGCTCCCGGCTTATGTAAGAATAACAAACAACTCTTTCTCAAATTTAATTTGAGAAAGAGAGAGAGAGAGAGAGAGGATAAAGGGCGATTTAATCTTCATTTAATCTCGAGTCACTTTAAAGTGTTACGTCTCGTCAATATTTTGTTTCGATAAAAACATGGCGGTCACGGTCTAACAACAGGATCATAATATTCCTATTGTAATATTTATCCTTATGAGAAGATAGAAACATTTGGTCAAATAAAGACGTTACGATACACGTGTAACGGCGGCAAAGCGCGAAGCAATTTACTCGTTCGGTGTGTGTTGTTATATTACATAATATACCTTTGCTATTATCGAGAATAGAGTGGCAAGCTGGTAATGCACTTCCTGCCGTGCGCATGAACACCTGCCGTTACACAAAGTGTGCGCATCGAAGGGCAAGGATTTGTTATCATGCCCGGAAAATTCTACAGGCTGAGTTCCATGAGGAACCGAGTGGTTGAGGTGATTAAGGGACTAAGGTTGACTAAGGGCTGCATTGTCCGAGGTCCGGAAGATTCTTCAGCCGTGAGAGAAAACGTCGAAACGCGTGTTCTTCTCCGCGATCTTGGAACTCCTAGTTTCGAGTGCCCCCGAGAAAGTTTCCAGCGATAGTTGCGCCTCGAAAGTCCGATGAGGATAAAAATATAAAATACTTTTCCTTCTCGGGCACGTTCCTGAGGTGTGAAGTCATGAGGAGGAACGAAGCGAGGCGTGTGCAGCGATTTCTCAAGAATCGCACGATCTACGGATGTGAGATTGATATGATTATATTATCGCTGGGCATTTCTCGGAGTCATCGGAGTCTGTTAATGAAAATCTAACCCCTCTCTCTCTCTCTCTCTCCTTATCGCGTTTCCTTTTCCTCCTGCTCCATTCGCTCGTAAATGAATTGTAATACAAGTGATTAATTGTGCAACAATACAATCGAACACAAACGAGTATGAAACATTGAACGAAATATATTCCGCGTGAGGGTGGTGAGGAGGTAAGAGGCAAAGAAGGAGGAAGAGGGAACATCAGATTCCTCGGAAACCCGTTATTGCTCCCCCTCCTCTCTCTCTCTCTCTCTCTCTCTCTGTCTCTCTGTTCGTATGTCCGGTTTTCTATTTCGCTGTCGTCCTCGTCGGGAACGGTGAGAAACGTTCTAGGCTGTTCGACGCGAAATGCGGCATGCATATAAATTGATAGCTATAACCATAAGTTATTCGTTATATGTACGAGAGAACGAGAGCGCAAGAAAAACAGGGATAAAGTGATAAGGATAGAAAGAGACAGGAAGACAGGAACATACAGAGAGACAGGAGGAAGAGCGAAAGGGCAGGAGGAAGGGAGAAGGGAAGCGCATAGAAAGAGAGAAAGAGGACAGGAACGATTGATTCAGATTGCATCAATGGCCAGGTTACACACGCGTGCACACGCCACATGGACCATATATCCTGTATACAAAGTCTCTTCATCCTCCACCATCGTGTTCTACGGGATACCCCTTTCAGAAAGACGAGTCAATAAGTATCTCTCTCTTTCCTCGCGCGAGAAGCCACGGGCAGGTTAAAATGTCTCAACTTGGAGGCTCGGGCTCGACCCGCGTGCTCTTGCTCCTTTTTCCCGCTCCTCCTCGTACATTCTTCCTTCTTCGCGCGGACAGCAGGACTCAGGGCGGCCGACTGCCCGAAGGGAGACGCATGCTTACGAATTATGAAAATTAGAGATCGCAGAGATGGATAGATCCGCAAAGGAATTAAATATAAGTGACCGGAGAGAAAGAGAGAGAGAGAGAGAGGGACGATTTATTTTCTTAGAATCACTTCGGCGTAATGTCGATGGCCGTTTAAACCTTTCATTCCCATGCTTCTTATCCGTTCGTGATATGAAACAAAAATAAAAAAAATGCCGATGAATTCAGAATTTCTTGTCCGTGTGTAACGATTCTAATAAATTAAAGATTAAGACCGACATCACAGCTATTTGGTTAATTGTTTAAAATATCTTTATTGGACCATATATATATATATATATTATAAAAATATATTTATTTCAAAAGCCTTTTTACATCTTCAGTAGTTATCGGGATAGCATAAAAAGAATGGAACTTTGCGGGGACAGTTTCGTTCCCTACGCTTGCGTCTCAATCGCTAAAGGGAAATGAAGTATCTCTTCATTTTCGTTACTCTACAAGTAGAATCGAAAGTTTCCTCTAAATCTAAGACAAACATTCCCAGTGGGACGTAATTTACATGATTTACCGACACTTCGATGTGCATCGCGTCCTATTTACAATTCTCCCTACCAATTCGAGAATGAATAAAACGGGCATGATGAACGTACATCTTATTTTCTTCTCGCACGCACACACGTATGCGGATGTTACCAGCGCGCGCATACACGTATGTGTACGTGCACGCACGTAAAGAAATGTGGAAGGGGAGGCTGTGGGAAGGCACAGCGCGACGGCAGTGTAAAAAACAAAAACGCACCTCGCCACGGAACGTTCCAGGACGGTCCCAAAAGCTATTTGGGACCACCCCGAGAGTCGAGGAGGCCCAGCAATCTGGTGCGGTTGGAATGCGACCGTCGGAACGAAAAACAAAACAAATTTTTATGTCCTCCCCCTTCCCACCGTCGCTCTCAGCCGCGTCCCTCTTGGGATCTCTCGCCGCCCACTTTGGCGGAGGCATTAGGCATTACTTAGAGCCTCTTGAGTCTACCGTGAAGAAAGTATGCTTCTTCCCTCTACCCCCTTTTCCTCAGCTCGTAGGGCTGCGGCTGCTTTGACGGTAAGAAAGAGGTCGATTTCACGCTGCGAATTGTCCACGACTCATTTCCAAGAGACCTCCTTGGGAGAGCTCAAATGGGTCCGCGGACCCCCGTTATCGATCGGGGCCTTCCTCCGTGGAGCTTTCGGCCTGTGCCAGCGGATAGTAGAAATGTTATCGCCTTGTTCAGAAAGGAAGGCTAATCGGCTTTCGCATCATAAATCTCGATGTTTCCTTAAAATGGCCCAAACGAACGTTTCAGTCACTCGGCAACTATGGGATGGCATACTTTCAAGCAATCGGCGGTTAAGTCACACCAGATAACAAGATTTCTTTCAAAATAATACAGCCTCATTAAGAACAGCAGACACGAGAGAAGAGAATGGGAGGGCTCTCAATGAATCCGAGTTGATTTGAATCGACAGACTTGACTGCCGTTGACTGGATTTCTCTCTCAGAACGATACCCAATCGGCACAATATCGAGGAATGCGGATAACATAACATACCGCAGATGTGAACGTGATTAAATCTTTTTATCGTCACGAGCGAGTGGAGATTTGTAGATCGCCATTTCCACCGATCCGTTCTCATCGCGGAAATACAGTATTGTCGCCGGATTTTTCGGTTTCGGCGAAATTTAGCGCCCCGAAACCGAATACCGCGATACGTGCGTGTAAGATATCGTTTTTGTTGTGCCCGATCACCGTTGTTAGCGATCGTTCTGGATGGTTCTCGATCTGACCGCACGCTTATAATTTAAAACAGATCGTCACGTCCCCGGGGTAAGGCATGAAGGTGGGAAGAGACTTTGGTTCAACGTGTCCGAGGTCCCACCTGGAGAACACATAATTGCCGCGGAACTTCGGTTATACCGCGGCGCGGACATGAAGAGTCAAAGACAACATCAGTCCTACACGATCACGGCGTACCGGGTGTTGAAAACCGACGATGGGTAAGAAGAATTATACATTTGTATATTTTCACAAAGTAAACACGAAGCAAGCGAGCCGAGAAGTACACAGACTTAACATTGGGAACAAATGATTTTCGAGAGCTCTGAGGAAAGTTGAGGAAGATTCTGTGGGAAATTGTTGCTATCGAGATAGGTTAAGCTTTCGAAAGATAGGTATGCGGCAAACAACACTTTCCTTCAGAATCCTCAAAATTGGGTAGATATGTGTGCGTAGACTTAACAGGAGCGATTATATTCCTAACATACAGCATAAGACTCTCTCTTCTCCGCGGGCTAATTCTTCGCGTCATTCAGCCGTGTACGGTCGCGCTAATAAAAATTTCACCGCGTATAAAAGTAAAATAATAACGCGCGAGTAAGTTTTGTCTAAAGGAATAGAGAAGCGACGCCGGAAGGTGTGTTTGAAGCGAAAAGCCTCTTATAGAAATTTGCACGTTACAATGGAGGAAGAAGAAGAAGACAAAAGCAGGACTCGGGACTGAGATAAATCCCAAGAAAGAAAACTCACGTTGCTTGCTCGCTCGATCGCTTTCGTGGCAAGGACGCTTAGGTTAAACCAATTTCGTGTTTCCCCGGGCATCCTCCGCGGTTTTTGACATCGTCATCGTGTCCCTAATTAGGAGGTCCTTAATCCTTCGCCGAAAAAGTCTCAGGTATTTGTTCTACCTGTGGAGGGAATACTCCAAGTAGCACTCCGTCGCGAGCATCCTTCTTCATCTTCGACTTCTCCATTCCGTCCCTTTCTCACGAGAGAATGGAACGTCTCGATTCCTACTTAGCTTCACATCATTCCATCTTAATGCTTCAAAGTTTCGTTATGTGCCACCAAATATATATATATATTTACAATATACAATATAGAACATATTTCAACCGGCGTCAAGATCTGATAATGCAAAGGATATTATATCATAATATTATAATATCATCGCACAATATAGATTACTTACGTCGAAAAATCATTTGTTCGAAGACCAAGTGAATCATGAAGTGAGAATTTGTTTTTCTTGCATTTTACCGTCGCATCATACATTCTCGGCATGGTGTAATTACGGAAGTGAAATTTTGATTAAAAAAGGTATGCACGAAATCGGATCAATAACGATCAGCTGGAAGCGCAGTGCGATTTGAATCTAACTAATAGCCGCAGGACTACCTACGGGCATTGTCCCGCCCGGATGGAAACTGAATCGTAAAAAGGAAAGCGTAGTGAGTTAATCTGAGAGGGCAAATCTCCTCTACGCTGCCGGTAAACGGCGACAGTCTGTCTAGAGACGCTCTATCTAATGGAAACGCCGGCTCCGTCACAAGTCATGAGTCACGAGACGTTCCGTCGCCGTTAATACCTGCCGTAATGCCTCGTGCTTTCGTGAACTCTTTACATTAATTTGACCAAAAAGGTCACCTCCCTCTTGCGAATTCCCCTATATTTTCGCATCGCATCTCTCAATACCGCAATCCACGGAGACATCCGATGGATCTATGAACCCGTCCTAACTGCGGGGCTATTTGTCATTTTTTATTTGTCGCTTGTTACTTGCCATTTTAGGGTGGCATATCCGCTATGAAAAGTTTTCTGAAATTCGCCAAATTTAATTTTGCCGTGAATTTTCTTCACAAATATCCATTAATTTTGTCTAAAGCTGTCGCTATAGTATGTACACATTGAATAAATTTACTCCTTAAGCGACACGTTACAAGCTTCCCTCTAATACCTCTTCTTTGAAGCTTCATAACGGTGATTCGATAGAGAATGTTAAAGCTCTTATGAACAATTTAGCGGATGTTGTCTGTCTCGAACAAGCTCAGCGAAATCGGTCATTATTCTAAGCTCATGTCGTAAGCGCAAACATCTGGTTACTTCAGTTATTCGCTCAAAGTCCTCTCCCTTTAGCGACTTCGGCCGCTTAACTCTTCGGCTCGTCAGCTCGTTAATTTACCGGTGAGATCGTAAAGTGACAGTCTTAGCGCGTTTCTCTCCCCCGAAACTTTGGGCACTACGACCTGAGGCTGACCGATATACAGACCTCGGCAGGAAACGCTATTCCGTAAATTGAGGTAAATTAGCCGTGAAGACGGGCTAACAGGCTCTCTTCGTGTTCCTCGTCTCTTCTGCCTACGCAGTTACGATCGACCTATCTCTTTCTTCTTCTGATCCTTCTTGCCGGCTTCTTCCGTCAAAGTCAAACTGTGCGTGACGCATCCTCCACCTCCTCCTTTTCCTCCTCCTGCCTCTTCTTCGTCGCGAGACAAGCTGGCGACTCGTTGCTTTCGTAATAAGAGCTCTTCACGGTACATCATTATGAGTATGAATACGGAATCTCAATGATAAACGTTGATAAATGTTTCTTAACCGAGAAAAATTACGCCTCAAATTGAAACGGCGAGATCGATAATTATTTAAATGAAGTACGATTGTAAAATAAAATCGTGCATTATTATGTCTCATGCATATATGCATTGTTAAATTTGTATTTTTGTCTGTTATTGTTTTATTTTATTATATTTATTCTGTTCAATTTAAATCCCTCAGTCTGCGATATATTTATAATTATTTTCTATCTTCTATCGGCAAATTATATCGTTTCCCAAAAATGGTAAATATTTCACATTTATACTCGATGTAAATCAAACAATTGCAATAATTGTTTCCGAAATATTTATGCAGCTAAATAATATATAAATAATTATTGGGATATTAATTACCGATTGATTTCAAAAGTACTAGTAAACATTCTTTAACATATCTCTACTTGAAAAGGGACGTTGTTTAAATGTATAATCATATTCCGAACTCGTTAAATTAGCAAATCGATTTTGCTCGATCGTTCGTTTTATCGAGCAGGAAGTTATCGGAACTCGACCTTAAACGACACGCGAATCTCACAGCCCATTCAATTACGATAATCGATCCGCGGAAAAACGATAAAAGCTGGTCAGCTAAATGCTGCGAAGATCGTTTGCTCAATGAACAATGATCGGCGTGTTTCCTTGCTAACGTCTTATTGACGCGAGACACGCGCGGCTTCGTGATTAATTAGAAATTACAATCCGAGGAATCACGACGAGAAGCGCTTGTGTTGAGACACGTCGCACGTGGCGCGATCGGTGTTATTGAAGGTACAATATTATCTTCCCGCATACACATTACACACTTGCTGATCGATAGTAAATGACGATATTTTTCATTGTATTGTAGTTAACAGTAGTCGATACCTGAGATACTCGAGTACCACGCGGATACCCAATTTTTTAGCATTTTCATATTTTCCTTTAAAACTGGTAATAAAATAAGCACAACAGTTTTGTTTCATCTTCAGGAGGAGAAGATTGAAATACGTCGATTCCATAAACTCCACGACCAGCAGGGAGGGTTGGTTATCGTTAAACGTCAGCGAGGCTCTCGGACATTGGGTAAACAACCCCGATGGCAACCGAGGGTTGTATCTCTCTGTACATCTTGCCGGAGGCTCACGTGAGTGATTTCACTTTCTTACTTCTCTTTTTACTTTTGTTTCGAGCGAAATTAAAAAAATATATCTCTAAGATCCATATATATATAATCGAACTAGTAAATTTTCTTTCTCCGTCTCCGCGAAAAGCGGACGTTTCAATTAATGACATGATCGAATAAGGACACTCCTAAGAAGGATATTTTCATACGAGGAACTCTGAAGAAAGGGAATTCTGCTGTGTTTATGAGTAAAATCAAGTCTTTCCGATTGATATACAGTGTGCTTTTGTTTCAAATCTCTCGGCTGAACTTCTCGGAAATCTCTCGGGTTAAATATAGGAGCGGTTTCCAGCTTGATATAAACACGTACGATGTTTGTCGAGATTAGATCGCGAGTCGAGCGCGAAGGAGTTCCGATTTTAGCCCTTGACCGGAAGTATGCTTTTCTGTTTATCTTCAATCAAACAAAGTGACTAGTATTCCCGACATTGTAGGCTAACATTCTTATATTATATATCATGTATATAATATATATATATACACACATATGACACATATATTACACGATATCTATGATATTTAATATAGTTATTAAGTGACCTAATCTAAAGGAATCGGATTCCTGATTCCTGTGCAAAAATCATAATGGAGAATATATGTTAACGTCACACAAATAACATTGAATATTAATGTGGATATAAATACCACCGTTCAAAGCGTACAAGTGCCTGTTCAACCGAGTGTATGCATTTTAGCTGCGTGTTCACACGTACTGGCGCGTATGTGTGCGCGGTTTGTTATTTGCCGCGCCTAGATTATTTCGTTACTTGCCTCTCTCTTTCTCTCTCCGTCTCTCATTTCGTGCTAGCTTCTTTCCTCCTTCCTCCTGTCTCGCTCTTCAGCATGCGTAACCGGTTTACCTTTGATCGTTCAATATAAAACGCAAGATCAGAGAGTCACATGCCTCTCACGAATCTTTACGCGTGATTCCCCCCCCCC